GGAAGTTAGGCCTCTATTCTGTGAAATTGTTGCAGACATAGACAGGCACATTGAGACCCCTTTCCCTTCATTCATTCCACACATTTCTTGAGCATCTTCTACGAGCCAGGCACAGTGCTAGGTGCTGGGACACAGGCATGTGCAAGCCCCGTGCCCTCGCGGACTAGCCCAGCATGCTGGGAGATGGAAGACAAAGGGCAGGGCTCTATGAGAGTGAACACCAGAGGTGACAGCAGCCTGGGCAAAGGCCTCGTTTGGAGAGAGCAGATTGAGTTGAGGGACTTCACGGAGGCTGGTGTGGCTGGAGCAGAGAGAGAGGGGGAGGGGGTGGGAGATCATGGGGGATCTTGTGGGGCTTGGTAGAGAATGTATTCTATATTCCAAGGCTAATAAAAGGCACAGAAGATTATAAACATCAATAACAACAACAATCATACCATTCACAGCCCCTGCTAAGTACCAGGCACTGTGTTAAATATTTTAAAATGTTAATTCATCTAATCCTCACAATAGCCCTATGAGGTGGGTACTCATTAACCTTACTTTAAGGTTAATGAGTAAACTGAGGCACAGACAGGTTTAGCCACTTGCCCAAGAACTAGGGCTGCTAGATTTAGCAAATAAAAATGCAAGACATCCAGTTAAATTTGAATGTCAGATAACAGATAATTATTAGTATAACTGTACCCCACACAATATACTAAAAGTTATTTGTTGTTTGTCTGAAATCTAAATTTACTGGGTGTCTGGGAATTCCTACCAAAGTCACACAGCTAGTAAGTGCAGATTTGGGTTTCCAGTTCACTGTGCTTGGCTGAATAATGTCCCCAGATGTGTCCACATTCTAATCCTCGACCTGTGAAGTAATGCTGGGTTATCCAGGTGAGCCCAATATAATCACAAGGGTCTTTAGAAGAGGGAAGCAGAACAGTCAGAGAAGGAGACGTGACAGAAGAAACAAAGGTCAGAGCCAAGGTTTGCAGGTGGCCTCTAGAAGCTGGCAAGGCAAGGAAACAGATTCTCCTCTGGGGCCTCCAGAAGGAACACAGCCCTGCAGACCCATTTTGGACTTCTGACCTCTAGAATTCCAAGAGGATAAATTTGTGTTGCTTTAAGCCACTAAGTTTGTCATACTTTGTTATAGCAACAATAGGCAACTAACTAATACACCCGTAATGACATAGCTGGGTGATGCATGACAAGTAACATATCAACGATAAGGCTGCTGCCATTTATCAAGCACCGAATGTGTGCTGTTAACATATGTCATAATAGCTAGAGTAGGTTGAATATCTTCTATAGCAGTGGTACCCAACCTTTTTGGCACCAGGGACTGGTTTCATAATAGATAATTTTTCCATGGAAGGTAGAGGGGGGATAGTTTGGGGATATTCAAGCGTGTTACATTTATTGTACACTTTATTTCTATTATTAGTACATTGTCAACCTCTCTGCTAATGATAATCTGTATTTGCAACTGCTCCCCAGCGCTAGCATCACCGCCTCAGCTCCACCTCGGATCATCAGGCATTAGATTCTCATAAGGAGTGAGCAACCTAGATCCCTCGCATGTGCAGTTTACAGTAGGGCTCGCGCTCCTATGAGAATCTAATGCTGCCACTGATCTGACAGGAGGCGGGGCTCAGGCGGTGTTGCTAGCGATGGGAGTGGCTGTAAATACAGAACTGCCACTCGCCTCCTGCTGTGCAGCCCGCTTCGTAACAGTCCACGGGTGGGTAGGACCACAGTTCTATAGCCTTACCATTGTGCCAGGCAGTTTCTCTCATTCTTTTCACCCCAGCTCTGGGAGGTACAGAATATATTGCCCATTTTACAAATACGAAGAGCAAGTCCCAGGGAGAGCAAACTGCCACCCTGCCAGCTATGCGTGGCAGAGATAGGACCAGGAGGCCAGGGATTTTTGTCTGTCCTGTTCACTTGCTGTCTCCCCTTGAACAGGGCCTGGCATGTGATAGAGTCTCAGTAAATGCTCATTGAATGAGTGAATGAATGGATAGATGAATGAATGAAGGTATGTTTCACTGCTTCCCAACAAAATGTGTCCACTCTGTGGGTAGTGTTGGGCTGGGTGTTCACCCATATGATTTTCATTTCATTTTGGCTACAGATCTGGGCACAGGTGACAGCTGTGGCCCAGAGGGTCAGGTGATCTGTCTGAGGTTACACCACAGATGAACTTTGAACTGCAGTCTGCTGGCTCTGGAGCCTTTGTCCCTGTTCCAGGCGAGAGTCCCTGGGTCCATCAGCAGATGCCCAGGGAAGCAGGGCTGTTGTCCTGCCTGCAGGAGGGAGCTGGAGTTGGGGGGGAGGCTGGGGCTGCCATGTCCATCCTTGTCGCCCTAGGACACAGGCCTGTACTACCACCGGTACCTCCAGGAGGTCATCAACGTGCTGGAGACGGACGGGCACTTCCGGGAGAAGCTGCAGGCCGCCAACGCCGAGGACATTAAGGTATGGTTGGGGGGGTGGATGGGGGTTGGGGGGTGAAAGGCAGAGTTTGGGAAAGGACCGAGTTCCCCTGGGGGTGACGTGCCTCCAGCCCTGCCCGTGTTCGAGATCACCAAAGAGAGACTCAGGGAGATGTCGCTTTTGGGATCACGCAGCTGGGAAAGGATTTGGGAACCACAGAACTATGTGGTTGAGCACTTAGTCAGGCGGCAGGCTTCTGTTCTCGGCTCTTCCGCTTACCAGCCATGGGACCCAGCCAGGCTGAGCCTCAGTTTCCCCATTGGTAAAATGTGGGTCATAACCTGCCTTGTGGGCTCAGGTTTGGGTTATCCGAGGGAAGACATGGAAAGGGTTTCGAAGCGCATGGTGGCAGCCCTTAGTACGTGTTCCGTGAGGGTTGACCAAGGGAGTGCCTGGTGCGGTTCCTTCTTTTTTTCCTTTTTTCCTCCTCCTCGGACCTTACTACCCTGGTGCGGTTCCTTCTGCAGAGGAGGGATGCAAAACATGGCAGGCGCTGGCATCACCGCATCACTGTTGACTCTCATGTTCGGCCTCTAGAGGCACCATGGTTGTTCTCGTTTCACAGAGGAAGACACTGAGGCCCCGTGTCCTCCCTGTGTGTGCCCTTCCTGTGGCCCAGGTCTCACCCTGGCCCAGCTGAACCCAGAGCCCCAGCACCCTCCCCCCAGGCAGCATCCCCTCAGAAATGATGCAGGGAGTCCCCTTTGAGGGACGGGGCTGCCTGCCCAGGTCCCTGTCCCCAACGCCATTCTGGTGCACATTGGAACATCCCACCTGAAGGAGCCACTCGACGTGTGAGCCCCAAGTCCTCCAAACACCTCAGCCCAGGAGAGGCTCTGGGGTCTGGGACTGGACAGGAGGTGGCCTTGGTCCTGCTGGTCCTAGCATTCCAGCAGCTCCTGTCTGTCCCTGTCCACCCAGCCCCTGACGTTGGATGGGCAGAACCACTGAGCCCAGCCCCACCCATTGTCCAGGTGGTGAAACCGAGGCCCGGGAGGCCACCCAGCTTGCCCAAGGTCACATACCTTGGAAGTGACATCAGAAGCAGAGAGACGAGTTAGGCAGACAGGTTCTGGAGTGGGCAGTGTCAGGTTCCAATCTCCACTCCACCTTACACTGTCCCGGGCAAGTGGCCGCACTTCCCTGTGCCTTGGTTTCCCTCTCTGGAAACGGGCCAGCTAATAGGACAGTTTCCCTATTGTGAGGGTGGTCGTGCAGGCCAGCGATAGTCCGTACTTCATGTACTAGGCCTGGCCTGGCATAGGCCCATGATAAATGTCAGTTGTTGGTGGCAGTAATATCAGCCCCTGTTTTGAGGTCCAGAGCAGGAAAAGGGGGTGCTGGGTCACTCGGGGAAGTGGCGCCCAGGCCCCAGGACTCCCGCTTTGGGGAGACACGACACCAACTTGGTCATCAGGCTGGAAACTGGCCTCCTACGCTGTCTGAGGACACTGGGCAGGCGGCTTCTCTTCCTGGGCCTCGGTTGTTCATCTGTAAAATGAAGCTGTGAGCCAGATTCGAGGGTGGACTTAGTAGGTGCTTGACCGACTTGTTTTTATGATGACTGTCACTTCGGTCACCTCATCCTGCTGCCCCTGCACAGGCTGTGCCCCGCCACGGGCTGAGGAAAGGGACATGAGTCACGAGTGACTGCCAGCAAAGCAACCACTGAGATAGCAGGGGCTGCTAGGGAGGCCCCAGCAAGGGGCCCAGTCCAGACTGACCAGCGAGAGAGGGCTCCTGGGGACAGGGTGCCCTGGTGTCCCAAGTGGAGGTGTCTGTGCGGTGGAAGTTGAAGCGGGGGCGTTTCAGAGCTGTGTGCACAGCAAAGCACTCTAGTGCCTTCAGCTGTCTGCTGGTGGCTCCTTATGACTGACGTAAAGAGAGGGACACGGGGCTGGAGGATGGGTGGGTGGGTGCCCAGTCTCGCAGGGCCTTGGGTGCTGAGCTGAGGGACTCTGTCCTGGGGACGCTGGGGAGCCATGGGGACTGTGATCAGGAGAGGGGCAGAGTTGGCTCTGACTGGGAACAGCCATAATCCAAGGGGATGATAGAAATAGCTCAGAGCAGGCACTGTACTCGGTACCGTGTCGTACGCGTGTGCGTGTGCGTGTGTGTGAGAGTTGGAGGTGAGTGGGGTGTTGGGATTCTTCCCAAGGGAGATGCCATCTGCTTTGAGTTTTGAAGGGCAGTGAGGATCTGGTTATGCTTGAAAGAGGTAGCTGGAGAGCATCTCAGGCAGGGGCAACAGGCTGTGCAAAGGCCCTGAGGTAGAAAACAGGAGCTTGTACCCAGTTAGCATTGCTGGAACCAAACGTGTGATTCGATGAGTGATGGGTGATGGGGCTGCCGAGGTGGGCAGGACCTCGGATGCCAGGCTAAGGGTCTGAGACTGTCCTTCCTGGGGGATCTGGGGAGCCAGTGGAGCTGTAGGCAGAGGAGAAGCAGTGTAAGACTGGGGTTATCAGAAAGCTTGTAGAAGGTGCTAGAGAAGACAGCACAAGATAAGGCCACCTAGCATGCCTCCTCCTAGCCCCCAGCCTGACCAGTGTCTCCTCTGTCTTGGCAGAGCGGGAAGTTGAGCCGAGAGCTGGACTTCGTCAGCCACCATGTCCGCACCAAGCTGGACGAGCTCAAGCGACAAGAGGTGTCGCGGTTGCGGATGCTGCTCAAGGCCAAAATGGACGCCGAGCAGGAGCCCAGTGAGCAGGGGTGGGGCGGGGTGGGGCAGGGTGGGACGAGGCCAGGTGGCCTCACTCTTGGCCTCCGTGTGGTTTTGTGTTGGGCCTCACTCTCCCCACTGTGTGACACGCATGGTGTATTCTTCCTAGCACAATTTAGTGCGAACACTACTCTGTCTGTATTCTGTTTCCCTTTGTTATTTTTAAGAATCATGGTTATTTAAAATTTTGATAGCACCTTCAACTTATGGAAAAGTGGCAAGAGCAGTTTGTATCCCAAATACCCTTTACCCGGGTTCTCCAGCTGTTAACATTGCTGTATTTGCTGTGTCATTCACATCTGAGAAGTCATTGCAGACACCACGTTCCCTGACCCCTTCGTAGTCCAGTGTGGTTTTCCTGAGAACAGCAACATACTCTTGCATAACCATAGCACAGTCATCGAAATCAGGAAGTTTCTCAGATTGCACCGTATTTTTCCTTGTGTAGCTGTCTCCCCCCTCCCCCCCACCCCCGGTTAGAATGATTCTAATTTCTTAGCATTTGTATCTGAGACTATATTTTATTAGCACCATGCTCTAACCAACTGAGCTAACTGGCCACTTTGAGACTATATTTTATAGTCTAATGATTAAAAAAAAGTTGTTTTTTTGAAAATGTGCCTGGAAAGAGAGAGATTCGGGCAGATTTCAATTCCAAGACCCCCCCTCCACACACACACCATTTCTGTTCCCCAGCTTCTATCTTGTTCCTAGATATGGTTTGTTGATGTGTGTGTTTGGACCATGCTATTTCTTTTAAGTACCTTTACTGAAATGTAATTCAGGCCAGGCGCGGTGGCTCATGCCTGTAATCCTAGCACTCTGAGAGGCCAAGGCAGGAGGATCATTTGAGCTCAGGAGTTCGAGATCAGCCTGAGCAAGAGCGAGACCCCATCTCTACTAAAAGAAAAATAGAAAGAAATTAGCTGGAAAACTAAAAAAATATATAGAAAAAATTAGCCGGGCATGGTGGTGCATGCCTGTAGTCCCAGCTACTCGGGAGGCTGAGGCAGGAGGATCGCTTGAGCCCAGGAGTTTGAGGTTCCTGTGAGCTAGGCTGATGCCACGGCACTCTAGCCCGGGCAACAGAGTAAGACCCTGTCTCAAAAAAAAAAAATGTAATTCACTTACCATACAATTCACTCATTTGAAGTATACAATTCAGTGGTTTTTAGCATATTCACATGTGCAATCATCACCAAAGTCAATTTTAGAACATTTGATCACCCCCAAAAGAAACCTGCACCCTTAACTACCACCTTGTACTCCCCCTCTCCCCAGCCCCCGACAACCATTTATCTACTTCCCGTCTCTGTGGAGTTGCCTGTCCTGGATGTTTCATGTAAATGAACCCCTGCACCATGTGGCCTTAGCGACGTGCTTCCCCGGTCCCTCCGTGCCGTGGCATGTGTCTGCGCTTCGTTCCTTTTTGTGGCTGAGTAGTGCTCCATTGAGTGGCTGTGCCTCATGTGGTTTATCCATCAGCTGATGGACACTTGAGTTGTTTGCACCTGTTAGCTGCTATGAACCATGCTATTTTAACTATTGTAGTAGCTTTGCGGTACGTTCTAGTATCTTCCAGGGCAGGTCTTGTCCCAGAGCTAAGTGTAAGAATGTGCCTCATTTCTTGAGATTGGCCCACAGCTTCTCCCTTAATCTCCTGACACCCCGTGAGGCTCCCGTGTTACAGATGGGGAGTGTGAGCACCAAGGCACCAGGCTGAGGCGGAACAGGAGGGCTGGCCTTTGTTTTCTGTCTGTCTGACTCCATTTACCCATTGACCAGACAAGTGTGAAGTCTAACTGTGTGCTGGGCGCTGGGCTGGGCACTGGGTTTCTGTTTGTTGTTGTTTTTTTTTTTTTTTTGAGACAGAGTCTCACTCTGTCGACATCAGCCTAGCTCACAGCAACCTCAAACTCCTGGGCTCAAGCGATCCTCCTGCCTCAGCCTCCCTAGTAGCTGGGACTACAGGCACACACCACCATGCCCAGCTAATTTTTACTATTTTTAGTAAAGATGAGATCTCACTCTTGCTCAGGCTGGTCTCAAACTCCTGACCTCAAGTGATCCTCCTGCCTTGATCCCCCCGCCTCAGCCTCCCAGAGTGCTAGGATTACAGGTGTGAGCCACCGCTCCCAGCCGGGGGCGCTGGGTTTATAAGGCGAGCAGACAGGCGTGGTCTCGGACCTTCTGCCACAGGAGGTCATGCCTTCTGTGCCACACCGTTTCCATGATTACAGTTTGAATCTCTGGTACCTGAGATGTTTTCTCATCACTAAGAAGAAAAATCTGTCCTGTTTATTGGCTGCTGTTCGGTACCAGGCATCGTGGTTGTGCTGTGCCCTTCACTTCTCCCCTTAACGACTCAAAATGCATCCAGAATCTGACCATGTCTTCCTTCCATTGCTGCCACCCAGGTCCGGGTGCCATTACGCTGCCTGGGCTCCGGCCTCTACCTCTCTCCCTTTGGTCTAATTCCCACACAGCAGCCAGTGGGAACCGGCCGATGTCGGTGTTAGTTTCCTATGCTGTTGTAACAAAGTGCCACAAACATAGTGTCTCGGTCCCTTCGGGCTGCTATAACACAGTCCCCTAGATTGGGTGATTTGGAAACAGCAAAAATTTATTTCTCATAGTGCTGGAGGCTGGGAAGTGTAAGATCAAGGCGCCAGCAGATCTGGTGTCTGGTGAGGGCCTATTCCTCACGGGTGGTGCCTTCTGTGTGCCCTCACGTGGCGGAAGGGGTGAACAAGCTCCCTCGGCGTCTTGTGTGAGGGCACTGATCTCATAAGGGCGCCCCCCTCATGACCTGATCACCCCCACAGGCCCACCTCCTAACACCATCACCCTGGGGCTTAAGTTTCAACACACGAGTCTTGCAGGGACTCCAGCATTCAGACTGCAGCACTTGGTGACTTCAAACAGCACGCATTCACTGTCTTCCGGCTCTGGAGGTCAGAAGTCCGAAATCGGTTTCTCTGGGCCAAAATCAAGGTGTGGTCCGGGCTGCGTGCCCGCTGGAGGCTCGGGAGAACCTGTCCTGTGCCTTCTTGGGCTTCCACGGCCACGTTCCTTGGCTGAGGGCCACTTCCTCCATGTTGAAGGTCAGCAGTGTGGCATTTTCTTTAGTCATCACATTGCCGCCTTCTACCATGGCCACATCTCTGTCTGCCTCCCTAAGGATCCTTGCGATGACATTTAGGGCCCCCATAATCCAGGATCATCTCCCCATTTCAAGATCCTTCAGTTGATCACATCTGCCAAGAGCCTTTTGCCTTGGAAGGTCACGCATTCACAGGTTCCAGGGATCAGGACATGCGTGTCTTTTGGGGGACCGGTATTCAGCCTGCCACAACACCCAGTTTAAGCCCTGTCCCTCTGCTCAGAACCCGCCTGTGTCTCCCCAGCGCCCTCTGGCGCCAGTCCATTACCCTCACTGCTGCTTGGCAGCCTGGCTGGCCTCCGCCACGCCCACCCACCCCTCCCTTCTCGTGTGTGCCGCTTGCCCGGCCCTGGGCGTCCGCATTTTAGAGATCGCCGGAGTGCGACGTGGCTCCTCACCACAGGACCCTGCCCGTCTGCTCCCCTCTGCCTGTGACGTTCTTTCTCTTTGCATGGCTGGCCAAGCTTCTGTCTCAGCTCAGACGTCACCTCCTCAGAGAGGCCTGCCCTGGCCGTTCCGCGTGAAGGAGCGTCTGTTTGTGTGTGTCCTTTGTGGTCCTGGGTGCATCCCTGGGTTGCCTGTTTTCTGTGTCTCTAGACCAGTTGCTTCAGGGGGCCAGTATCTGTCGCCATCTAGTTCCTGCTGTGTCCACAGTGCCGGGCACAGGGTCAGCCTGGAGCAGGGGCTCGGCACGCGTCCACCACGTGAATGACGAATGTGAGAGTCCATCTGTGCCTGTCTCCCGAGCGCCTGCCCCTCCTCTGGGCTCAGCCAGGCCCAGAGTTGCCTCTGCTGTCACATAGGTCACCTGAACTCCAGCTGCGTGTGTGTGTGTCTTTCTCTCTACCTGACCAGGGGCCACCGGCGGCCCAGGCCAGGTCTGAGTCACTGTGGGTCCCAGCACCACTCAGCACAGGCCCGTACCCCGGAGGCCTCAGGAAACCTGTGTTCCGCAAATGACAGGATATTGGCAGGGCGCGTCCTCTGCCTTTCCTCCCGGAACCTACCCCTTCCTGATTTCTTGGAAACTGCCATCCGAGGGGGGTTACTTTCGTTTGCTAGGGCTTCTGTAACAAAGTACCACAGGCCGGGTGGCTTAAACAGCAGAAATTTGGGGACATGCAGTTCAGCCCCAACAGTGGGGGAGTATCTCGTGCTCCAGAGTCCAAGGCTGGTTCTAATCCTTGCTCTGCTCCTTCTTAGCTGATGACTGAGACAAGTTATGTCCCCTCAGTGGGCCTCGGTTTTCACATCCATAAAATGGGGATATCATAGTATCCACGTTGTCAGATCTTTGTGAAAAGCAAATGAATTAATATCGTTAAAGTGTTTAGAGCAGGGCCTGGCATATAGTAAGCACTCAGCACATGTTAATTACTATTAATTAATATAATAATAATTAATTGCTATGGTGGTTATTATGATTATTTTAAGCATCAGTGGTGGGATCACCTCCTCCAAGAAACCCTCCCTGATTGCCCCAGGCTCTGTCAGGCTGTCCTCTGGGCTTCCCCAGTGCCCTCTGTGACTCCTTTAGAGCACAGGTGGCCCAAGATGGGGATTTTGAAAGAAAGAACATTCCATGCATTGTTTTGTCTGACTCTTCCCTCTCCTCCAGATGTGCAGGTGGATCACCTGAATCTCCTGAAACAGTTTGAACACCTGGACCCTCAGAATCAGCACACATTCGAGGCCCGAGACCTGGAGCTGCTGATCCAGACGGTAACGGAAGGGGGCGCGGAGGCAGAGGCTTGAGGGAGGCTTTGCAGACCGGGAGAAGGGATCAGAGTGGCCCCTGCCTGGTGGTGGTCTCTGCGGTTGGAGGCTGGCAGGGGCTGGCTGGTTTCTAGCAGCCTTCCCCAGAGTCTCTGCGGGAAAGCGAGAGGTATAGACAGGACAGGCTTTGGCTCCACTCAGACCTAGTTCGAGTCCCTCCCTGGCTTATGGGTGGGGTGGTGGGGAGGTCCCCTCTGTGTCCTCTTGGTGGGCCAGATAATGGCTCCCAAAGATATCCACATCCTAATCCTGGAACCTGTGAATATGTTCCCTGACGTGGCCAAAGGGACTTTGCAAGGTGTGATTAAATTCAGGGTCTTCAGCTGGGCAGGCGATCCTGGGGGAGCCCCAAGGACGCAGAGGGAGGTTTGATGGTAGAAACAGAAGGCAGTGTGACAGCTGAAGCCAGATGCCACGACACTGGCTCTGAAAGTGGGGGAAGGGGCCACGAGCCACAGAACTCAGCTCTAGAAGCTGGAGAAGGTAAGGATAGGGATTCTCCCCTGGTCTCTGGAGGGAGGGAACATTTTCCTGCCAACACTTTGATTTCAAGCCAGTGAAACTAATTTCCGTCTGGCCTCTGTAACCTAAGATGATAAACTTGTGTTGCTTTCAAGCATTAGTTTGTGGGAATTTGTCACAGTGGCAGCAGAGCCCCGCCTCATGGGGCACGCCCTGCCCATGGCCCTTCCACAACTCCCGGGCCCTGCAGATGCCACCGGCCCCGCCTGGCTGGGCCCTGCTTTTGTGGCTCCACCAGAGCTCCATCTAGTGGCCATGACAGTAATAGCACAGCCATTTCATTGAGTACAAGCCTGGTTCTCAGTCCCAGACAAATGTTTCTGCAGCTTATTTCTAGAACATTCCAGAAACTGTCGGTTTCTCTCCAGCTCCCATCCTCTCTCATAGGCGCCTCCTCATTGGGACCCCTGCATCTGCCTCCACCGTCTGTGGCAGGATTCCTCAACTCGGCACTCTTGACGCTTGCTTGGGGCTGGATGGTTCTCTGTCCCGGGGCCGCCTTGTGCGTTGTATAAGGTTCAGCAGCGTCCCTGGCCTCCGCCCACTAAGTGCCATAGACCTCCCCAAGTTGTGCCCATCAGAAATGTCTTCGGACATTGACGACTGTCCCCTGGGACGCAATCGCCAGGTGGATGGTCTGCTCCACTGTGTGTTCCCCGGTTGCTGCTGTAACAAATAAACAACAGGAATTTATTCTCGCACAGTTCTGGAGGTCAGAAGTCCAAAATGAGGCTCACTAGGCCCAAACCAAGGCTTTGGCAGGCCCATGCTGCCTCCGGAGGCTCTAGGGAAAATTCCATTCGTGGCCTCTTCCAGCATCCCTGGGCTGGCGGCCGCTTCACTTGTCTTCAAGGCCAGCATCTTCCAGTCGCCGTCTGTCTGTCTTCACTTGGCCTCTCCTCTGTGTGTGTTGAGCCTCCCTCTGTCCCCCTCTTGCGAGGATGCATGTGATGGCATTTAGGGCCGACACAGGTAGTCCAGGATGATCTCCCCACCGCAGTCTCTGAACTTAGTCGCACCTGCAGGTGCCCTTTTTCCATATAAGGTAACATAGTCACAGACTCTGGTGATTAGGACGTTGACCTCTTTTGGGGGCCATCTTGCAGCCCATGACACTGGGCTATAATCAGGACGTCAACAGGGCTGCGTTCTTTCTGGAGCCTCTCGGAGTCCATTTCCTTGCCTTTTCCGGCTTCTAGAAGCTGCCTGCATCCCTTGGCCGGTGGCCTCTTCCTCCATCTTCAGAGGTGGCACCATAGCATCTCTTTGGCTGTTCTGCAGCCTCATCTCCCGCTGACTCTCCTCCTCCCCGGCTTCCTTCTTCTGCCTTTAAGGGCGCCCCTGGGAGATCCAGGCTACTCGCCCTTCAGGTCAGCTAATTACCACCTTAATTCCTCTTCGCCGTGTAACATCACATACCCCCAGGTGTCGAGGATTAGGACGTGGACATCTTTGGGGGGACATTACTCTGCCTATCACATCAGCCAGAGGAATCCTGTTAGATCTCCTTAGGTCCCATCTCTCCTCTGCTCTGAACCCCTCCACCACTCCTGTCGCCCAGATGGCGCCACTGGAGCTCCAGGCCCCATACTGTTTCCCCTTCTGGCTCTGCCCTCGCCTCCTGCCCTCTGCCCTCCACTCACTCTGCTCTAGCCACTCTGGCCTCCTCACAGTTCCTCACACACACACCAGGCCTGTGCCCGCCTCAGGGCCTTGGCCCTTGCTCTGCCCTCTGCCTGGTGCACTTTGCGTCAAGACACCCGTAGAGCTCCCTCCCTCCTCACCTCCTTCTGGTCATTGCCGAAGCATCCTCCTCTCAGTGAGGCCTTCCCTGAGCCCCCTTCTGAAAATTTCATCCACACCCCCACCTCCATGCCCAGTTCCTCTTTCCTTCTGTGTCTTCTTCCCGCTTATCACCATATATCCTACTATGTGTTTTGCTAATTTACTTTCTATGTTTTGTTTTGTTGGAGATAAAGCCTCACTTTTTTGCCCAGGCTAAAGTGCAGTGGTGTCAGCCTAGCTCACTGCAACCTCACACTCCTGGGCTCAAGCGATCCTTTTGCCTCAGCCTCCTGAGTAGCTGGCACTATAGGCACATGCCCCTGCACTGGCTAATTTTTCTTTTTTTGTAGAGATGGGGGTCTCGCTTTTGCTCGGGCTGGTCTTGAACTCCTGACTTCAGGTGATCCTCTCACCTCAGTCTCCCAAAGTGCTAGGATTACAGATGTGAGCCACCATGCCCAGCTAATTTATTTCCCTGCCTCTCCCTACCAGCTCCATGAGCGCAGGGATGTTTGTCTATTTTGTTCTCTGTTGTGTCCCTAGCATCTAGGACAGGGCCTGGCACACCGTAGGTGCTCAATAAATGTTTATTAAATGAGTAAATGAACAAATCTCATTGAGTCCCAAAACCACTCTACGAAATAGCATATTAGTTTCCCAGGGCTGCTGCAACAAAGTACAGGTTGAGTGTCCCTTATTTGCTTGGGGGCAGAAGTGTTCCGGATTTCAGATTTTTTCAGATTTTGGAGTATTTGCAGAATTCTGGTTGAGCATCCCTAATCCAAAACCCAAAATCCAAAATGCTCCAATAGCATTCCCTTTGAGTGTCACGCTGGTGCTCAGAAAGTTTTGGATTTTGGATCATTTTGGATTTTGGGGTTTCAGGTTGGGGATATGCAACCAGTAGCGCACACTTGGTGGCTTAAAACAACAGAAATTTATTGTCTCACAGTTCTGAAGTCAAAGTTCAACATCAGGATGTTGGCAGGGTGAGCTCCTTCTGAAGGCTGTGAGGGAGAATCTGTCCCTGTGTAGCCTGACCTGTAGATTTGTCTCACAGTCCCTGCCTCTGTCTGTTATCACATGGCGTTTGCCCTGTGTGTCTCTGTGTCTTCTCTGTGGTCCTCTTACAGAGATACCCAAAGATGTCATGAGATTTAGGGCCCAACCCCAATCCAGTAGGACATCATCTTAACTAATTACATCTGCAGACACCCTAGTTCCAAATAAGGTCATATTCTGAGAGTCCGGGTGGACAGGAATTTTGAGGGGGGACACGATTCAATACAGTATGGTATTGTCATCTCCATTTTATAGAGGCAGAAACTGAGGCACAGAGAGGCTGAGTAACTTGGCCAAGATCACACAGCTAATAAGATTTGAGCACGTGGCAGAGCCTGATTTGAACCCTGGGCAGAAAAATTAGAGACCTCCTGTTCTTGACTACCTGGCTGTACTGCTTTCCATATTGAGTTCACCATGTGTGTTCCTTATTTACTTATTCCCTCAAGATCTTGAGATTGTGGAGGACTTGAAAGAGGTGGGTTCAAGTTGCTATTATGTGATTGTCATAATCCTTTTTTTTTTTTTTTTTTTTTGAGACAGAGTCTTGCTTTGTTGTCCGGGCTAGAGTGCTGTGGCGTCAGCGTAGCTCACAGCAACCTCGAACTCCTGGGCTCAAGCGATCCATTTGCCTCAGCCTCCCGCGTAGCTGGGACTACAGGCATGTGCCACCATGCCCGGCTAATTTTTTCTATATATATATTTTTTTAGTTGTCCAGATCATTTCTTTCTATTTTTTAGGAGAGGCGGGGTCTCGCTATTGCTCAGGCTGGTCTCGAGCTCCTGACCTTTGAGCGATCCACCTGCCTCGGTCTCCCAGAGTGCTAGGATTACAGGCGTGAGCCACCGCGCCTGGCCCGTCATAATCCTTTTTGAACAAGGAGAAGAAGGTGTGTTATGGGGCAGGAGCTGTCACAGGGACCAAGAAAGCAATACCAAGACATGAGACTTAGGACAGGGGAGGCTGGGGCTTCCCCTGGCCAGGGTCAGGGCGAAGGGCCCACCATTTGGATACTGGAATTAGGGGCTGGGCATCGGGGTGAGAAGAGAATGACTTTCTGCCTTTCCCCAGGCCACCCGGGACCTCGCCCAGTATGACGCAGCCCATCACGAAGAGTTCAAACGCTACGAGATGCTCAAGGAACATGAGAGACGACGTTACCTGGAGTCACTGGGAGAGGAGCAGCGAAAGGAGGCAGAGAGGAAGCTGGAAGAGCAACAGCGCCGGCACCGAGAGCACCCTAAAGTCAACGTGCCTGTAAGGACCCCCATTTGTGCCCACCCACTCCCTGCCATGCGTGTCTAGCTTTCTAAGCACAAGACTAGAAAGCAGTTGAAGAACTTCAACTCCCAGGAGCCCCTGAGACAAAAAGTCCCTGTTACAGTACTGAGCTGCCCCAGGGCCTGCTGGGAGTTGTAGTTTTCTCAGTTTTCTTTCTTCAGGGGAATGATATTTGTTGGATGGGGGTAAACGGTTCTCTGGCTTTATCCCGTGGCATTCAGACTTCTTGCTCATGAGCTCCTGACTCTCCTTTCCACAGGGCAGCCAAGCCCAGTTGAAGGAGGTGTGGGAGGAGCTAGATGGATTGGACCCCAACAGGTTTAACCCCAAGACCTTCTTCATACTGCATGGTAAGGTGGGGAGGGAGTCCCAGACCCTGAGGCTCTGACCTGTCTGGGGGCTGAATGCTAAGAGGGATCTCCCCACCCCAGTGGGGCTGAGTCAAGCCCAGGAGACTTGAGCCCATCTCCCCTGGCTGACCAGGAGGCCCTGCCCCTCCCTGTTGCTAGAGCTGGGATCTTCCATGGAAGGGCTGGGCCTCTTTTCAGCATATACCAGACCTCTGGATTCTACGGACCAGCTAATGTCCACTAACAGAGCTAACCAGGCCTGGCTAGGCCTGGGCTTCCCTCCCGAGCAGCCCAGAAGCCCTGGTCCCCTCTGGGGGCCCTGTCGCTAAGGGTGGGTTGCCCCCTAGTAACCAGGCCTCCAGAGGCCCAGAAGCCCCTTCTCTGTGGTGGATCAGACACACATCCCCCTTCAATCCCTCCCCGTCTGGGAGTGTGATCTGGGGTTGCCAGGCCCCCTCAGGTATGCCCAGGACCCTGACCCAGAAGCTACAGCCTATCAGCAGAGCTTAGCAAGCCTGATTCATTTATTCTGCAAGTGTTTACTAAAGCCTCTCTGAGGACCAAGCTTTGTCAGGACCCTGTGGATACAATCATGAACAAAACAAAGTTCCTCCCCTCAGAGCCAGCAATGAAGCAAACAGACCCTACTATGTTTTAGTGACTCTAGGGGACCATCGTGCGTGAGACATACTAGTATTTTACATAAGCTGCTCTTAATAATGAATGTGACACACCGTCGATGATAAGGCGCATCTCAATGTCAGGGATGATCAAATACAGAAAAGAAGAAAAGTACATCTTAGAATCAATGAAGAAGGTTCTGTAGGGTCTCAGGTAGTGATATGTACCATGGAAAAGAAGACAGCAGATTAAAGGGCTAGAGAAGCAGTTTCAGGTGGCACGATCAGGAAAGGTTTTGCTGTTCAAATAGAGCGTTGTGCACTGACGGGAACGTTCTGCGTGTGTCATCCTGTCCAGCGGCCACCAGCCCCACCAGCTATTAAGCACTGGAAATGTGGTTCGTGTGACTGAGGAAAGGAATTTTTAAATAATTTTTAGTTTGGATGAATGAAATTTTTTATTTTAAGAGGTTTTTATTTATGCTAAAACGCACACAACCTAAAATTTACCATCTTAAGCTTTTATGTGTGTGTGCACACGTGTGACAGGGTCTTGCTCTGTTGCCCAGGCTGGTCTTGAACTCCTGGGCTCAAGTGATCCTCTTGCCTCAGCCTTCCATGTAGCTGGGGTCATAGGTGTGTGCCTCGAAGTCCAGCTTTAATCGTTTTTATCAGTTCTGTAGTGTTAAGTATATTTACATTGTTGTGCAATCCGTCCCCAAACGCTTCCCATCTTGCACAACTGAAACTCCATATCTGTTAAACAGTCCCCATCTCCCCCTCCTCCCAGCCTTTGGCAACCACCATTCTATTTTCTGTCTCTATGATTTTGACTAGTCTAGGTATCTCATATGAGTGGAATCATACAGTATTTTTTTTTTTTTTTGTGACTGGCTTGTTTCACTTAGTGTAATGTTGGGGAATGGAATTTTTCATTACATTTGATATTAATTTTGATTTCTGTTGCCCCCGTGGCTGGTGGCTGCTGCATTGGACAGCACAGCTCTAGAGAAAGGGTGTTTGAACAGAGACCTCAGTGAGGTAAGGGACTCAGCCCTGCAGATATTTGGGATAATACGTTCTAGATGGAGGAAAGGACCAGCACACACAGGGAAGAGTGAACTTGGCGGGTTTCCAGGGTTGCTAGAACAGAATGCACGAGGAAAAGAGTGACAGCAGAGACGGCTGGGGAGGTGGCAGCAGCCACTCAGGGCCTGGGAGCTAGCAGAAGGGATGTGGACTTTATTCTGTCTGTGACGGAACACCACAAAACGGTTTTGAGCAGATGACTGACACCATTTGCCTTAAGGGTTGGCAGAATCCATCTGGGTGCTGTGTTCAGGGCAGACTGTAGGGGCAAGGGCCAAAGCCAGGAGCCTACTGAGAAAGTGACAGATGTTGGTGGCTTGAGCACGGGAAATAGGGACAAGTGGTTGGATTCTGGAATCATCTTGAAGGTCAAACTGGTAGGACTTGCAGAAGGATTGGACAAGGGTTATAAAGGAATGAGAGGGTCACGTGTCACTCCAAGGCATTTGGCCCAAGCAACTAGAAGGACGGATTTACCTTCTACTAAGATGGGAGGATCACGTGTGGCAGGGAAGATAGGGAGCTGGGCCTGGTCCTGTTAAGTTAGAGATGTCTTGTCAGACACCGTGGGGACTGAGCCAGAGTGGACAGTTGGATATTTGGACGTTGAGGCCGAGGAACCGGAGAAGCCCATCTGGGGAGGTGCTGGCCGATAGAACTCTCTGTGATGATGAAAAATGTCCCATACCTGCGCTGACAGTATGATAGCCACTCTCAAGTGGGACTAATAAACTGAAATTTAAATTTTATTTATTCTTAATCAACTTAAATTTAAACAGCCCATATGGCTAGTGGCTACCATATTGGACAGTGCGGATCCCAAGCGTTAGATAGAGGGGCGCCCCCAGGCCTGAGCCCTGGGGCATACCAGCATGGTGAGGTCAGGAAGAGGACAGAGCTGGCAGAGGAGACTGCGGGGCAGCCAGAGAGGACAGAATACAAAGTGACGTCCTGGAAGCCCAGGGTGGGAAGTCAAGTAAGATGCAGGGTGAAAATTACCATTGGGTTTGCAAGAGGAGGGTTTCTGGCCACCTCGGTAGGAGCAAAGTTGGTGCTGATCTGAGTGAGCAGAGGAGGGAGGGGGTGGATGTGGGGACAGTGAGTACGGCCCACAGAGCTCGGGGCCCTGCAGCTGGGAGAGCTGGGTGGGCAGGAGAGGGCCCCCCGGCAGCTGGAGTCGGCCCTGGCCTGGCTCTCCGGGAGGCAGAGGTCCCTGACACCCCAGCCCAGAGCACAGGCTGCTAGGGACAGAGAATTGTCCTTCGTGACAGCGGGCCCAAGCATGTCCTAGTGAAGCCCGAATTTCCTCTATTCCATTCCCAGGACCCTGCATACCAGGGAACAGGCTGCCCCAGCGGCGGGCCTAGTGGGTGCTGAAGCCTGGGGGCCACCAGGCCACCACCAGAGACCCATAGTTACCTGTCGCTTATTAGACCCCACCCCACATCAGCCCCAAATTCCTTCACCAGGGACATCACCCACCCTGTCCTCAGTCCCTTGTTGTCTCCTTCCCCTCAGATATCAACAGTGACGGCGTCCTGGACGAGCAGGAGCTAGAGGCCCTCTTCACCAAGGAGGTGAGCATCTCGGGAGCCTCGAGCACAAGGGGACCCCCAGAGCAGCCACACGTCCCCTCAGGGATCCTAGCATCCTGAAGTCCCCCTGGATGGGAGTTGGAGTTGGTCGCCCCGGACCTCTCAGTGCCCCCGCCTCTGCTTGCCTTGCAGCTGGAGAAGGTGTACGACCCCAAGAATGAGGAGGACGACATGCGGGAGATGGAGGAGGAGCGGCTGCGCATGCGCGAGCACGTGATGAAGAATGTGAGGCGGGGGCCCGGGTGGGCGGGGGAGGGGCCTGGCTCTGTCGCTTACCCTCGTCTGGCTCCCCAGGTGGACACCAACCAGGACCGCCTCGTGACCCTCGAGGAATTCCTCGCGTCCACTCAGAGGAAGGAGTTTGGGGACGCTGGCGAGGGCTGGGAGGTGAGGTCACAGGGGCTCCTCAGGGCGCTGCGTGCATCGCTCCCAGCCCTGACCTTGGTTTCAAAGTCTCTGGCCGCGTCTCTGTCTCTGGGTCTCTGGCTACCCCCCAAGTCTCTAGCCCCGTCTCTCTGAGACTCTGTGCCCTGCTCTCTGGCTCTCTGTTCTCCCCGTCTCTAGGTCTCTGTCCCACTCCCCACTCAGGTCTCTCCGCCCACACACGGCCCCAGCCTCCCGTAACCCTCCTGGCAGAGCCCTCTCCGACGTGGGTGGCCACGCTGAGTGACTCCGCCAATGGCCCCTGTCCCCGCCCCTGCAGACCGTGGAGATGCACCCTGCCTACACCGAGGAGGAGCTGCGGCGTTTCGAGGAGGAGCTGGCTGCCCGGGAGGCCGAGCTGAACGCCAAGGCCCAGCGCCTCAGCCAGGAGACAGAGGCTCTAGGGCGCTCCCAGGGCCGCCTGGAGGCCCAGAAGAGAGAGCTGCAGCAGGTGGGGCAGCTGGGTCCATCCTCTAAGTCTCTGGTGGCCCTTGTCCTCGTCCACATGAGTGTCCAGAGGCTGGGAAGGCTGCGGCTGCCTGTTAATCATGGGTAGATCCTCAGGTGGCCGCCGCCATCTTGAGTAAGGGCAGATGTTTTCCCATCCCTGACAGCTTTGCGGCTGCCATGTTGGGTAAGGGCAGTGGGGTCGTAAGTGGGAGCAGGGTCAAGGGTAGACTCATCTAGGGTCCAATGAGGGCTTCCCTGTCCCAGGGCAGGACCTAAGCGATGATGGGAGGGAGAGGTGGATCCTCAACTATTACTAAGCCGAGCTCTTAACAAGAGAAAAACTAAGGCCCGTAAGGAACGGATTGGCCCATGACCACTTAGCAGGTTGCTGTGGAATCTCAGTTTGGGGGTGAGACCTGAGCATCTTGGAACACCAGTGTCATACCCTCCTGTCTGTGCCATCCCCACCTCCTGCAGGCTGTTCTGCACATGGAGCAGAGGAAACAACAGCAGCAGGGCCCGAATGCCCCCGCCTCCAACCCTGAGGGACAGCTCAAGTTCCACCCAGACACAGGTGCTGGCTCCTGGGCCCAGGAAGGAGGGGCTGGGGGCCCAGAACCCCTGGGTCTGAGGGAGGAGGGGCTGGGGCATCTAGTGCCACCATTCCCTCCCCCCCTTTCCAGACGATGCGCCTGTCCCAGCTCCAGCAGGTGACCAGAAGGATGTGGATGCCTCAGAAAAGAAGGTTCCTGAACAGCAGCCCCCTGTGGTGCCGCAGCTGGATTCCCAGCAACTGTGACCCTTCAGGGACCCCCAGCCCTCCAGGTTCCTACCCAGGCAGCTGATGGGAGCCGAATGAAGTGTCACAATCAGCCTTTCCTGGGGCCAGCAACATTTGTGGCCTCCTGTGGGCAGGGGGACAGGGTAGCATTTGACACATTGCTGCCAGGCCCCGTATCTGCCTGTCTCAGCTTTCATAGCCTCCAGGTCTGTGGTCAGTTCCTTCTGCCCCCTCCCAGGGGCCTGCCCTCTCTTGCATTTGAATCAGCTTAATTTAGGGAAGCTCCCTCGCTCCCTCCCGAGAGGATCCTGCCTTCCTAGCCGGCTGGGCCTCAGCTGCCCAGGTCTCAGCCACTCCAGCTGTCTGTATCCTCACAGTGGCTGGAACCCTGCCTGCTGCTCTGGGCCCAGCTTCTGTTGATTTATGGGATTTGGGATGGTCCCTTGAGACCTTCTGCTACCTTTTGCAAGACCAGCAATGCCTCAAAGACAGTGTCTTCTGCACAGCTGGTGCTGAGGGCCAGGGCATCGTCAGCGTAGCTGTCACCTCCCACTCCAGGAGCCTGGGTCTCCCTGAGCCCCTGGCTTCCCAGCACCTCGTCACCAGCTCCTCCCTGACCTCTTGGTCCCCAGCTCCCTCCCCTTGCAGAAGGGTCCCAGAGCTGACCCTGCTACCCAGGACTAGGTCCCGGCCCTCAGCTTCATGTGGGAGGCCCTGAAGGGTGGCCTCGCCACCTTTCTAGCCTCATCTCACACTGCTCCATGTCCTGCTCTGTGCTCTGGTTCCATCTGAATACACTTTCTGGAAGAAATACATGCCTCCATGTCTGGTATATGCACTCTCTCCTCTGGAGCCCCATCCCCACGTCACCTGCCACAGTCCTCACCTTTTACGATGCAGTTCAAGCATCACTTCCAAGGGGTCCCGTCCTGGTGTACTTCTGTCTGCTCCCGACGAGTGCACTGCCTTTGCTCGGGATGCCAAGGACAGAAAACTCACCTGGGCTTCAAAGATAAAAATAATGCATGGTCACCCAAAACAGGAAGTTCCAAGGCAGGATGGCTTCAGGGCTGTCAGAGAACCTGGTTCTCCCATCTCCTAGCTGTGCCATGGTAGGCATGATGGCTGCAGATGTCACACATACCTGTAGCAGCAGCTAGCAAAGAGGCCACATCCTGTCCTAAGCATTGTTGTAAGTAGGAGAGAGTCTGTCCCCAAAGCCCCCTCCCCCTGCAGCTCTTCCGTCGTGTCCCCTGATGTCCACTTGACCATGAGGCACAGGCGAAGGCTGTAGGTCCACCAAGGTGGCAGCTGTCAGGAGTGATTCATCCTCACCTGGGAGGAGAACACTGGCCTTGGACCAGATGGAGGTCTGGCAAAAAGGCAGAGGCAGGAATTGGTTTAAATGAAATTATGTTTCTGTGCAAGTCCAGGAGAAAATCCAGATTTTATTTTAGCTCCATCATGTGGGGGAAGAAGCAAGGGGCAAACATCTTCTGGCTTAAAGAAAATAGAAAATTATACTACCTTTCATGAAACAAGGACGCCAATTTAAATATGCTCGCCAGGGCAATACATTATTAACTAAAACAAACAATAGTAGTATTAAACCTGTTTTGACACTCCCTGTGGCCCAGGCAGCATTTAAAGTTTTTCATGCTTTTTTTTTTTTGGTGTAATTTATGCACAGCAAAGTTTGCTTTTTTGAGTGGAAAGTTTGAGTTTTGACAAACCACCACCACAACCAAGATATGTACCAATTCATTTATTTCACAAACATCCCTAGTAAGTGGTACTATTATCCCCATTTTAAAGACGAGGAGACTGAGGCACAGCATAATTAACTAACTTGTCCAAGGTCACACAACTATTGTACTTACAGGCTTTCTGAGATTGAGTTCAGGGACAGGTTTGGGACTGGTATTCTCTGCTTTTCTGGGCAACATCGTGGGGAAGGGGGAACATTTTCTCCCCCTTGTCTGGCTGAGACATCTTTGAAGAACAGTTAGAAGGGGCTACAGATTTGATGCTAAAAGCTGGGATTTTATTAATGAAAATCAAAGAGAAATCATGCCTGAGGAGCCCAGAACATTCATTATGAACCGGAAAAGGGCAGAAGTATTTAAAAAAAAAAAAAAAAAGTAGCATGGCTACAGTGGTTTGCTGGAATCTGCTCATACAAGCTTGCGAAAGCCAACTGTTATTAATAAATTTGCAGGAATTTTACAAGGTGTTAAATCACCAGTGGCTGGAATCGGCCATGGTGGGAAGATATATACCGTGGACTTTGGCAAAGGGTGCAAATCAGAGCCTTGGCCCCTTCCCCACAGACAGCCAGGCTACCGTTACCCCACTGGGCTTGGGGCAGGTCTAGTTTGGCAGCTCTGGGGAGGAAGAAGCGTAAAGGAAGCCCTGATAAAAACTCCCTGGGAGACTCGTCAACAATACATATTCCCCGGGCCCTGGAACACCCTGGGAGGATCCTGGGAAGCTGTGTGTGTGCCTCGTCCCCCAGCTGAACCTGGACAACACAGCCTGTCTCTGCTGCTTTCTGGGAAAACAGTGGGAGCTGAGCCTCAGTGGCCCAATCTGGAAAACGGGCGTAAAATGGGAGTTGCAAGCTCACAGGGCTCTCTGAAGAATTAGATAATAGTAACACAGGAATGGCGCGGCTCCTGTCCTGCAATGGAAGTCAGCGAGCAGTAGCTGCTATTACTGTTATTATTTGGATACACGTATACACCCGGTTCTGTGGGAACCTGTCCTTGATCCCCATACCTGAGGGCACTGGTTCCAGCCCCAGGATGCTTTTCACAACCTGCAATTCTTCATTTGTGTGTTCACTCTGCTACTCTGTTCCCCCTAACACACTCCACCTTCCCAATGGAGCAGGGATGGGGGGGCGTGTCCGTCAAGTTCATGGCCCCATGAAGAAGAGCGGCCCCCCCCACACACAGGCAAGAAGGGAGGTCACCTATGCCCTGAGCAAACCCCACCCCACCCTGCCTGACCTTTAAGTCTTGTCCTTTTAAATCAACAGAATTATTTTAATCCTTTAAATTTAATCTGAAAATGGTTTGGTTTTTGATCCTCGGGCTCCCCGTGCTTGCTGTGCACAGATTTTTTGTTTGTTTTGGAGACAGAGTTTCACTCTGTTGCCCAGGCTAGAGTGCTGTGGCGTCAGCCTAGCTCACAGCAACCTCAAACTCCTGGGCTCCAGCGATCCTCCTGCCTCAGCCTCCCAAGTAGCTGGGACTACAGGCATGCGTCACCATGCCCGGCTAATTTTTTCTATATATTTTTAGTTGTCCGATTAATTTCTTTCTAATTTTAGTAGAGACGGGGTCTCACTCTTCCTCAGGCTGGTCTTGAACTCCTGAGCTCAAACAATCCGCCCGCCTCGGCCTCCCAGAGAGCTAGGATTACAGGTGTGAGCCACGGTGCCCGTCCGAGGTATCCTTGACATACCAAAAAATTTACTTGTCGTATGTGTACAATTGAAAGATTTTTAGTAAATTTATACAGTTGTGCAACCATCACCATGATAACCCTGTTTTTGTTGTTTGCTTTTTAAGAGATGGTGTCTCAAACTCCTGGCCTCAAGCGATCGTCCTGCCCCAGCCTCCCAAGTAGCTGGGTCTACAGGCATGCGCCACCATGCCTGGCTGATTTTTTCTATATATTTTTAGTTTTCCAGCTAATTTCTTTCTATTTTTCATAGAGACGGGGTCTCGCTCTTGCTCAGGCTGGTCTCAAACTCCTGACCTCAAGCTATCCTCTGCCTCGGCCTCCCAGAGTGCTAGGATCACAGGCGTGAGCCCCCGCGCCCCTCCTGTGCACAGGTTTTAAATGCTTCCTCTCTCCCTGGAATGGCCCGTCCCACAGGGGTGCAAGCTGGTGAGGTACACAGGGCTTGGAGGGCACCGACGGAGGATTTGGGAGTCTCAGGGAAGAGACAGAAACGGAGAACGGGGGAGCTGGGACCTCATGGGCCCTATGGGATTCAAACTCTGCCTTGGCCCCTCCTCTGGGTCTCTGTCTCCGTCGGTATTGACCGAGTGTTCCAGATGTTTTGACACCTGGGGCTTTGATGACACTGGAGAGACTGCCCCTCCTAGGGCTAGCCACTTGCTGGGAACAGTAAACGAGTCTCCTTTCACATGCAAATCAAGCAATAGCCACACCCCCGGCTCCTCCCCATCACCAACCACCTCCCCCACATCCCAGCCCCTCCCCCACACCCCAACCCCCTCCTTTATCAGTGGCTCTTCCAGTCCAGGCCAACGTTCCTGGCCTAATCACCCCAAGGCCAGGTACCCGGCAACTGGAGACAGGCTGCACCCGCAGGGTCTGCGGAAATGAACCAAGCCAGCTAATCCGCACCCTGCTGCCCCTGCTCCCCGCGCACTGCCCCCCAGACAGCAAGGCTCCTGCTCACGCTCTCCCCCCTCGGCTCTCCGCCCCCCACCTTGGGGGTGAGCAGCAAACTATCTTTTCAATGGCAATTGTCTCCAGCTCTGTTGACCTCACCAACTAACACCGACACCTGCATTTCAAAGGCACCCCGTGGGCGGCAGAAAAACGGCTTCCCAAAGGCTTCGCACCTCAATCCGCAGGTCCTGTGGGTGTGTGACCGTGGCCAAGGGGCCTTCGCAGCTGTGATGAAGTTAGGGATCTTGAGAGGCTACCGGCTTCTCAGGTGGGACCGATATAATCTCAAGGGTGTCTAGAAGAGGGAGGTGACAACGGAAGGTCGGGGTGGGGCGGGCTGTGAGCCAGAGCCAGGGAGGACACAGATTCCCCCCTTAGTGCCTGCGGGGGGCACAGACCTGCTGATATGTTGATTTTAGCCCCGTGAGACCCATTTTGGACTTCTGACCTCCAGCACTGTAAGAGAATTCAAGTGTGTTGTTTTAAGCCACTAAGTCTGTGGTACTTTGTCACGGTGGCCAGAGGTTTCCTCACAGTCAGAGCCCTGGGCCGAGCCCCTTCTCACCAAGCGGTTCCGTCCCTGTTCCCCTCCCCAGCAGCCGCCCCTCCTAGGGCCCCAGTCGCCGCCTCTGTAGCTAAAGCCACGGCCTATGTTCAGCTCCCTCGGCCTCTCTTCCGCTCCTCTGTCTCGAACTTTCTTTCCTCTGGGCTTCCGCTGCTTGCTCTCCTGGCATTCAGTCCCAGGCCTTTATTGGGTTCCAAACTGGGTTGTCACTGTCGCCCATCCCCTCCTCCTCCCAGTCAACCATCTCAGAACGGCCCATGAGCCACCTATGAGCCACCTACTGTTACGGCAGGGCTGACCGAGAATAGACCAGAGACACACTCAGAGATTTGGCAAAAACAGGTTTTATGTGCCAGCGATTGCCCCAGAGGGGAATTTGCTCTCCCCAAATTCTGAGCACCAGACAAAGGGCACCGCAGTCTTTATACACTCTGCTTAAGGAGGAGGGGCGCGGCGACGACAGGGTTAACTTTAGCGAGACAGGGTCCTGAGCCACTTTACAACCTGGTGCACTACTTGCTACAGGTGATTTATGAGGGCAAGGTCGCAGGGGAGGAGGGGGCCCAGGTAAGGATTGCAAGGAAAAAAAGCCCGGTAGTGGAATTTCTAAGAATTCCACTTCAGTGGAATTTTCCAATCTTCCACTTCATTGCCCCCTTTGATGCCCCTGTATATATGTCACGAGGCATTCATCCTCATGTGTCTATTATAGGGCATCATCCTTTAACGGGGAATAGCCTCGTAAGGCCATTCTATGAGCTGTTGGTTTTCGGGTTACAGTTGTCTCTGTGAATTTTATAATTGCGCGTA